ATTATCTCCCAAAAGTGTGAAAAGTCCTTTGGGCTCTTGAGTATTCTCGGCTTTTGTATTCTACCCCATGTTTCTCTGTTTTTATATCAGGAGTCAGCAAACTTTTTTTGTATAGGGGCAAATATTAACTGTTTTAGGCTTTGTGAGCCATATGGTTTCTCTTATAACTATTGAACTTGGTGGTTGTAGCAGGAAAGCAGCCATAAACAATATATAAATGGATGAACCTGACCATGTTCCAATAAAACTTTATTTATAAACACTGAAATTTGAAATTCATACAATTTTCATGTATCATCAAGTGATATTTTTTTCAACCATTTGAAACTGTAAAATCCATTCTTTTCTTTTGGTTGTACCAAAACAGGTGGCAGGCCATATTTGGCCTGCAGGATTTTGTTAATATAATACATTGTTTTAATACAACATTCTTGCATGTAAGAGATCTTAATTAACATTTTTATGGCAATTTATAATTCTAAAATGTTTTCTTATAAATTACCCCAACTTAGCTGCAGAGTAAACCTATAAGATAAGCATTATTATCTCCATTGTATGGTAAGGAAACCAATGCATTGAGATAGAAAATGACCTACCTAAATTTGTAAAACCAGTTAAGTAACAGGGCCAAGACTGACTGTATTCTGTACTCTCTCCCCCATGTGGTACAGGTTAAATATTCATAACCGAAGTATCTTGCTGTATCTTAATACTCATTTGTTACCAGAATGCTTAGAGCCTTGTAAATAATAACAACAATGGTAATTTCTAATTTTCTTTATTACTATATTGTATCTGGCTATTTTTTTTTTTTTTTGCTTTCCCTCTTGCTCTTTCTTTCTTTCTTTCTTTATTTTTTTTAATTTCGGCATATTATGGGGGTACAGATTTTAAGGTTTCAATACATGCCCATTTCCCCCCCCTCCACAAGTCTGAGTCTCCAGCATGACCATCTCCTAGATGGTGCACATCTCACTCATTATATATGTATATACCCTCCCCCTCCCCCCTGTCAATACCCTATTACTGCAGTACCTATGTGACCACTTAGGTGCTGTTCATTTAATACCAATTTGCTGGTGAGTATATGTCGTGCTTGTTTTTCCATTCTTGGGAAACTTCACTTAATAGTATGGGTTCCAGTTCTAACCAGGAAAATATAAGATGTGCTATGTCACCATTGTTTCTTAGAGCTGAATAGTACTCCATGGTATACATATACCACATTTTATTAATCCATTCTTGATTGATGGGCACTTGGGCTGTTTCCACAGCTTTGCAATTATGAATTGTGCTGCTATAAACATTCGAGTGCAGGTGTCTTTTTTGCAGAGTGTCTTTGGATCTTTTCGGTAGATGCCCAGCAATGGGATTGCTAGATCAAATGGTAGATTCACTTGTATCGCTTTAAGGTATCTCCATATTGCTTTCCACAGAGGTTGAACTAATTTGCAGTCCACCAGCAGTGTAGGAGTATAGAATTTTTATTTCCATCTTGATTTCTTCATTATGAATAATCATTAGTAGGAGGTTGTTTAATTCCACGTTTTGTGTAGAAATGTGAGTTTCTGTTAACAGTTGATTTCTATTTTTTACTGTGATCTGAGAAGATACATGGTATGATTTCTATTTTTTAAATTTCTTGAGGTTTACTTTGTGTCCTAGGATATGGTCAATCTTAGAGATGTCCCGTGAGCTGATGAGAAGAACGTATAGTCAGCGGATTTTGGGTAGAATGTTCTGTAAATGTCAATCAGACCAATTGTTCTAGAGTTTTGTTTAAGTATTATTTCTTTTAATTTTCTGTTTGGAGGATCTGTCTTGACGTGTTGGTGTAATCTCCGGTGATTATGTGTTGCTATTAATCCATTTGCTTAGCTCCAGTAAGGTTTGCTTTATGAATCTGGGTGACCTAAGTGTGTGTGCATATTTTATTAATTGTTATCTCTTCTGTTGAAGTGTGCCTTACTTCGTTATATAATGACCCTCTTGTCTTTCACTACTTGTTCTTAAAAACTAAATTGTCTGAAATTAGAACTGCACGCCAGCCTTCTTGGCTTCCACTTGCTGGAATACTGATCTCCACCCTTTACTTTTAGTCTATATGCATCTTGCAGGTTAGATGTGTTTCCTGAAGACAGCATATACTTGGCCTGTATTTTCTTATCCATTCAGCCAGCCTATGTCTCTTGAGTGGAGAGTTTCACATTTATTGAGAGAACTGATAGGTAAGGTAATTACTGTCATTCTGTTGGTTGGATGTTGTTTGCTGTATTGTTTTATCTGGGCCTTTAATCTTTGTTTTTGTTTTTATATTCGTGAGTTTTTATGGTTTCCGTGCGTAACACTGTTTTGAGTACTTCTTGTAGGGCTGGTCTTGTCTTGGTGAATTCTCTGAGACTTTGGTTGTCTGAGAATGTCTTAATTTCTCCTTCACATATGAAGCTTAGTTTTGCAGGGAAAAAGATTCTAGGGTGGGCATTGTTTTGTTTCAGAAGATGAGAATGGGGCCCAGTCTCTCCTTGCTTGTAAAGTCTCATTAGAGAAATCTGGTGTTATTCGAATTGGCTTTCCCTTGTATGTCACTTGCTCTTTTGTTACAGCTCTTAGAAGGGCCTCTTTAGTTGATATTTTGGTCAGTCTGATGACTGCATGTCGTGACGTCTTCCTGTTTGCATTGAATCTCCAGGGTCCTCTGAGCTTCTTGAACTTGATATATGAGATTTTGAGCAAGGCCTGGGAAATTTTCCTCTATTATATCTTCAAATAGCTTGTCCAACCTTAAGTGTTGTCCTCTTCCCCTTCTGGTAACCCTATGACCCTCACATTAGGTTTCTTCACATAATCCCACATCTCTTGTGGGCTTTGCTGTTTTCTCTTGTTTCTCTGCTCTATCTCTGTGATGGTTTTATTTAGTTGGAGGGTGTTATCTTCAATCTCTGAGATTCTTTCTTCTTTTGATCTACCCTGTTCTGAGACTATTCCACTATATTTGTGTCCCTGAATTGATTCTTCATTTCCAGGAGTTCGGTTAAATTTTCTTCATTGTTCCATTTCTTTTTCCATATCCTGGAGGCTTTTTGTGGTTTCTTTGTGTTGTTATTGAGTTGTTGTTGCAGCTGGGTGATGTTCTTATGATCACATACGAAATTCCTCTTCTGTCATTTTGGTTGCCTGATTTTGGTTGGTGTCCGTTTCTAGGGGCTGGTGCTCCTCTTTGGGGTGTTTTCCGTTGTTTCTTCATATTTCCTGAGTTCCTTCGCTGATTTCTTCCATGTCGATCAGTTGTTGTTTCTTTCTTTAGGTTTGTTTGGGTATTCACACGCCTTGTTTAGTTTCTCAGCGGTTAGGTGGTGTCTGTGCATGAGATTCGACCACTCCCTGTATGATGAGTCAGTGGGTGCCGTGAAGAGGCTGTGCAGGATGCCGTCCCTGTCAGTAGATGGCGCTTGCTTGGAGGAACTGGCTGTGCTGTTGTTTTTGTGTCCTGTTATCAGCTCTTGTTCTGGGTGGAGCTGGGTTGGGTAAGCCTGCCCTCAGGCACCACCAATGCTGTTAGCAGGGGTCAGAGTTTTGTTCTCTGCTTCCAGGGAAAGCTGTCAGGGCGGGGCTGAAGTCCTGCTCAGCCAGAAATCTTTGAGCTGCTCTGCAGCTCGGCTTCTTTCCACCCTCCCCAACTCCGCAGCTACTCCTGGGCCTCTGCCAGCAGCCCAGACCACACGCCACCAGGCCTCCTGGGATTGTGATGCGCGCGAGGTTCCCTGCGCAGAAACGCTTCCTGGCTGGGCGCACAGCCTCCCTTTGGTGGGAGGTTGCCTCTAGGATGTGATCTCCTGAGGCACATAACCTCCACAGCTGTTCATTATCCCTTCTGTGCCATGCTAGACCTACAGGATCTGGTCTGCAGTCCGACCTCTGGGTCCAGAGTTCAAACTATCCCCACCAGGGAGAGGAGTTCGGTCCAATTCACCCACTGGAGCCAAGCTGTGTCTGTGTCTCTCAGCCTCTGAGTCGGCAGCATTCTCTGGGAACATCGTGCCAGCAGCACCTGGGAGGCTGGCGGTAGGGCGTCACAGTCTGCGTTCCCTTAGTCAGCTGTAGGTCCAAAAGGGAAGGTTCCATTCCCTGGAGGTGCCTCCGGCTGGTGCTGTATTGTCTCTCTGGGCACCGCAGGTAGGGTCGGCGGAGGGGAGAAGGAGGCAGTATGGTGCCTGCCACGCGGCTCGGGTCTGTGCACATGGAGGTGCCCCGAGGGATTTGGGAGTCTGGTGCCGTATCCGCTACAGGCTCACCGCTGGCTGGCAGCAGCCGTCTCTGGGCTTGTGTCCGCAGGTCTCTCCACCCGCTGGGAAGCCACCAGCAGTCCAAATGCAGGGGAGGGGAAGGTGATTTATCCACCCTACCCTTCCCGCTGGTCTCGGGCTGCTCCGGCGGTCTCAGCTTCCATTCTTCTCCGCAGCCTCCTCCTGTGGAGTCTCCCGGGGTCTCAGATACCCTTCCTTCGGGCCCTCGTCTGCTGTATGCTCGCCTTCTTGCTTCTTTTTTCTAATTTTTGCTAGAATCTGTCTTTTCTGCAGAGACACTCTTTCTGGCGATGTTTCTCGTCCGCCATCTTGATCCTCATCCTCCCTCTTGCTCTTTCTTTCTTTCTCTCTTGTATCTGGCTATTTTATAATTTTATAATATTTAATAATTGGTATTTTGATAATAAGCTAGATAGGGGAGGTAAAGGGGATTTGTTAATAAAGTTTAGCAAAAATTTGGCATTGAGCAGTACAGTCATTCATATACTGTATTTCCACATTTTCAAAGATAATAATTGATTGATTTAATTTTAGATGTGTACCATGAAAATAAACAGTACAGAACTTTCTTTCTTCCTAAATTACCTCTGTTCATGCTGAACTGTTTTAATTTATCTAATAAGTTTTATCCAAATTTTAAAACTTGTGATGTTGAGCACATTTTCCATAGTAATTTTTGGATTGCTTTCCTATCAGGTGGTTGAAGATTATGCTGGAAGATGGCAGGTCCCTTTGCCACAGCTTCAGGTTCTTCAGACTGCACTTTGTTGTTTTACATCAGCCAGTGCATCATTCCCAGATGAATGTGAGCACGTACAGTATGTTTTGAGTAGCCTTGCTGTGTAAGTACTCTTTACCTCTTATAAACACATTATTTTTCTTGATATGTTTGGGCATTGGTTTTTGATTATTTCTTCTGAGGAAGAAACCTTTCCTAAACTCTTCCTTCAAAAAGAAATTTTCATTTCTTCACTTAAATATTTAAGTTTAATTTTGAAAATTTAACCACAATTTTACTTGTAGTTGTAGAGTTAAATGGAATTGTGATACACAGATTCTTCTGGTCACTACAAGCATTTTACTTTCCTTTTTAATTCTCCAGATTGCATTAGCAAGCTCTAATGGTAAATCCCAGAATGCAGCAGTTTAGGCCATCATAGTGAGCAGAGGGACCTTAAATCAGGCCAGAAAGAGGTTAGTAAACTCCTGGTTTTTAAAAATGCTTGTAGAGAACTTTGAATTAAAGATTATGAACTAAGCACTTAGATTTATCCTTTTTGCCATCCTAGAGGGTCCACTAAAATTATAGTAAAGAAGTAAAAGGAGAAATAAAGTGAAAAGAAAATAAAGGTTATCAGTTATTGAAAGATTTCCACAATTTTCTGGGGGACAAGAAAGCAGATAATGGAATGGTAATTGAAACAGAACAGTGCAAGTCACAGTTTCATCTGTTATTTATTTATGCCTCAAATTGCACTCACACCACAACAGTGAGTTGTAAAATCAATCATTTATCACTATTACAAAATGCCTTTGAAAATATCAGAATACCTCTCATAGGATGAGTATTATTTTGTGAAACTCTTGATGTTTTATTTTTATGTATATATATGTGTGTATGTGTGTGTGTGTGTATATATATATATATATATGTATACTTGATTATTTGTAAAACATTTTTTAAAACCATAAGTAGCATCTGAAACAAAAAAATTTATCATTTGTTTTATAAGATAGGAGGAAGCCTATCTGCCCTTCCCCCACTAAGAGGTATACCATTTGAACAAGCAAGTATAAAATACAGAGTAGAGAATGAGATATTTTGGTAGAATGCAGACAAAGGGGTTAATTAAAATTTTTCCATTCATGTCAGTCACCAGGCCTTACAGCCAGGTTGGGCTGGGGAAACAGTATTATAGCTTGAGCATCCCTCATCCTAAATTCCAAAATCTAAAATGCTCTAAACTCTTTGAGTACCAACATGATACTCAAGGGAAATATTGTCTGGAGCATTTTGGACATGGGGTTTTTGGATTAGGGATTCTGAACCAGTAAGTATAAATGCAAATATTTCAAAATTTGAAAAAATCTGGAATCTGAAACACTTTTGGTCCCAAGCATTTCAGATAAGGGATACTCAACCTACCCGACTTCCCTCTTCTCTGCCCCACAAAGAAATCAAATGATCCTGGAGGAATGACTTTTGCATTCTAGAACTTAAGGATTCCTCACTGACAGCTAGCTAGCTGATCACTTAATTGCCGTAAAGAAAAATTCATCAGTCAAGAAATTCCAGACTCAGGCTCACCAGGTTCTCAATTATCTACTTATGGCCTTATTTTTTTGAGTATTGATGGGTATCCAAGAATCATCAGACATTTGAAAAATGCCTTCAATGTGAAAAAAAAAACAACACACTATACTGAAAATTCTGGAAGAAATAGTGTTAATGTTGAAAACAACATTAAAAATGTTTCAAAAATTAAAAAGATAATAGAAAATCTAGCAATTTTCAGAGAGATTTGAGAAGATATGCATAACATTAAAACATCAGTGTCATATGTTGTGTGAAAGGAATAACGAGATACCAAAAATGAATGTGAAATTAAGAGAATATGATGGTTGAAACTTAAAGTTCTATAGGAAGGTTGTAAGGTGTAAAGTTGAAGAAATAATCTAGTATGTAAAACAAAACCAAAGAAAAATGTAAACAAAATAATACATTGTGCTTCTTTTAAAATTGGCTTATATATATTTAAACTTGTAGCAGAGAAGGAGAATTCAGAACATAATATTTAGATTTGTAAGAGTGAGGCAGTTTTTTTGGTTTTTTTTTTTAACTATGATTTACTGTCTGGCGCGGTGGCTCATGCCTGTAATTCTAGCACTCTGGGAGGTGGAGGCGGAAGGATTGCTTGAGGTCAGGAGTTCGAGACCAGTCTGAGAGAGAGCGAGATCCTATTTCTGCTAAACATGGAAGAAATTAGCTGCGTGTGGTGGTGTGGACCTGTCGTCCCAGCTACTTGGGAGCCTGAGGCAAGAGGATCACTTGAGCTCAGGAATTTCAGGTTGTTAGCTAGGCTGATGCCATGGCACTCTATTATGGGCAAGAGAGCAAGACTCTTGTCTTCAAAAATAGGCAAATTAAAAAACCATGGTTTAAAAAAATATATATTTTTTCCAATTTGAAAGCAGTCACTGTTTATTAACTGACCAGATTACAAAAATAATTGTGCTAGATACCTTAGTTCATTTTTCTAACAAGTTTGTTGATCTGGTCTTCCCTGTTGCCAGCATCTCCACTTTCTACAAAATTGTTTGTCTTTCTTCATTCTACCCAATGGAGATGATAACTTGAAGGGCCACAGGAAGTTATTAGCTTCTTTGAAGCATTTTCCAACAGTATAGATCTCATGAATCAGATCCTCCTTGCAGATGATGCCATATTTACCAAGAGATTGAGCAATCAAACATTATCTATCAACACAATTTGCTTCTTATTGATTTTTCTATAACCACATTTGTTTTATTTATTTTATTTTGCCTAAAGGAATTTGAGAATGTATTAGGACTTTTTGATTATAACTGACAAACCTTACTCAAGCTCATTTAAGCAAAATAAAAATAAAAAGGCAGAGAGTGATTTATTATATTATTAAATCAGAATAGCAAAGACTGGAACTTGTTTTAGGATTTTCTGAATCCAGAGAATAAAATGGCATTTAGAATTGTTCTCTCTCTTTCCAGCTTCCCTCTTTTTTGGCTTCATTCTTTCACGGCTGCCGACAGCTCTAGGAATAAGCTTAGTTTATTAATCAAGGGGGAAGAAACTCCTTCCCCTCATTTCCAATCCTAAAAATATCTTGGGAAGAACCCAGAGGCCAGCCTACTTGGCTTGGGTTATGTGCCTACTTCTTTGATTAATCACTGTGTTGAGGAGAATGTGGTAAGACTTTGGACCAATCTGATGAAAGCCTATCCCATGGCCAGGGGAAAGGTGAATGCAGTCATGCACTGTTTCAGACAATAAAGGACTGCATTCTGATATGGAGGTACCATAAGATTATAACGGAGCTGAAAAATTCCTATCATCTAGTGATGTAGCTGTCATAATGTAATACAACACATTACTGGTGTTTGTGATGATGCTGGTGTAAATAAACATACTGCCCTCCCAGTTTTCTAAAAATATAGCACATAGAATTATATTATGTACAGTACATATACTTGATAATAAATTACTATGTTGTTGAAATATATATATACTATGCTTTTTTAATCATTTTAGAGTGTACTTCTACATTATGTAGAAGTATATATATAATATATACATATATACATATATACATACATATATATACACACATAATATATACATATATATATATATATATGTAAATAAAGTTAACCGTAATACTGCCTTAGGTCATTCAGAAGGTATTCCAGAAAAAGGCATTGTTATCATTAGAGATGATAGCTCCTTCCTGTTACAGCCTCTGCAGACCTTGCAGTGGAACAAGATGTAGAGGTGGAAGACAATCTTGATGATCCTGATCTTGTGTATGCCTAGGCTTATGTGTGTGTTGGTATCTTACTTTTTAATAAAAAAGCTAAAAAAGTAAGAAAAATAAAATTTAAAACTAGAAAATAACTTACAGAATAAAGCTATAAAGAAAGAAAATTTTGAACAAATGTATAATGTGTTTTAAGCTAAGTGTTATTACGAGTCAAAAGGCTAAAATTTAAAAGTTTATAAAGTAGAAAAGTTACAATAAGCTAAGGTTCATTTATTATTGATGAAAATACTTTTTAAAATAAATGTAGTGTAGCCTAAGTGTACAGTGTTTATTTGAATTTACTTTAACAGAAGAGTTCACTGTATTTTCCATATTGGAAGAAAAACGGAGAAATAGCAACATTCTGGCTATATTAAAAGAGTAGTAAGTCTGTAACAGTATTTGATTTTACTTAAATAAGTATTTAACTAGAAAGTTCTTTTAATAATTATTCCATAATTATGTTCGTTTATATTGTAAAGGTTTATGCTTGGTTCTAGGGATAAAATAGAAAATAAGATAAATAAGTCATTGTTCTCAAAGACTTTACAGAGATAAAAGACTGTTTTTTCAAATGTTAGGGAAAGGAAAAGACATGAAGAAAATTGTGTTAAATTGGCTAATTATAATTTTGTCTAACTTTACCTGGGTTGACTCTCCTTGTAAGCTGTATTTTATAAAGAAATGAAGATTTTGCTGTGTGTGTGTGTATGTGTGTGTCGTGCACTAAAATGGGCCTTGAATTCATTCCTCTTTATAGATTAAGAAAACAGTCCTGAGAAGTTGGGAGACTTTTGCAAATATGACTGGTCTTTTTTCTGTTCTCTTGTTTTACATTGGTTAAATACAGACAGAATCCTAAATTTCATAGGTAGAACAAAGCCAAACACCCTGAACCTAAGTGGACCTTTGGGCAAAGAACATAGAATTTACCAGTTTTATGTAAAATAAAAGCAAATGTAGTGCTGCCTTCCTAGCTTCCTTTTACCCAATGGAAAGTAAATGTTCATAGATTACAGGATTCTAGGCAGAATTGAGTGATGGGACAGCAGGTATTTGCCTGCCAGCCATTAGGTCCTCAGGGATCACTTGGAGGAGGGAACTAGTTCAGATAGTAGTATTTAGTATATACAGTGGCAAAAACTTAGAGTGTATGCCAAGTTGCCTAAGAGAGAGAAGCAAAGGAGGTCTTTTCTTTCATGGAGCTAAATTGGTATAATCATCCTCTTATTTAGAGTGGATAGATAGTCTTGGGCTGGGCCACATATGTAATGGTAGATCACTGA